TGTCCAGAGAGACCAGAGTCATTAGACTCTGACTGGACAGACTCATATAGGTGAATTATTCCAACACTAATTTCTCTTTTTAGAAGATGAGAAAAATATAATATTGTGGATTTTTCACTTCACCCTGAATGAACTGAATTTAAAGCTGCAGGGCAATTCAGTGAAAATAACTTTTCTAAAATGTATTTTGTTACGTAATTTATTTTTTAATCCAGCCGTTGTTTTACTTGAAATGAGAAGAACATTTATTCATGTATTTCTATGTATTATTTATAATCCATCCAGTTCAATTTGAAAACTGAGAATAATATTTGTTAAAATATAATTGATGTGTACTTTCTTTATTTGATTTGGCAGTTGTTGACTACTCAGAGACATTACTACTACTAGACTTCTTGAATATAGATATACCCAAATTATATATATAATATATATATATATATTATATATATAATTTGGGTGTGGGTCTCGGCTTGTCATTAAGGGGTGATGGTGGGTCCTGCAGCCAGACCAGTTGAGACCCACTGCCAGGTCACGGGCGTCTCTTCTTACCTCGAGACACAGAGGTGAAATCTGATTGGATAAAAGCTCTTCTTAAAACAAGTTGCACTGGAAGCAGAGCAACTGAGTAAGACAGTAGCTGTGCAATGAGAAAATAAGATAATGGGAAATCAAATAATTAGAATACATGTAGTGTATTTATGAAAAATGATTAAATTATAAAATAGCTATAACTGTGATTCTGTTTAGGCCAGCGACGGCGCACCACTGTGTAATGGCCACTTGGTGGTAGATAATAACCTGTTGAACTAATGAAACATTCATTTCAAAAGAACACTGATCGTGATCGTTAGAGTCTTTCAGAATAAAAGATACTGAGGTATCATCAAAATATGGATCATTCATTCAGTTGCGCAGTAGCGCTGATGCACACAAAGTAAGTTTTACATTACTGTTAATAACTTGAAGTAGCTGGAAACAAACTACACGTGTAATTTAATGTCAAACATCGATTTGTTTCTTATCAAGTTCAGCTGAGTGGCCACCAGATGGCGACATAACACAACATACTCCAGGTTACAACCTCAAAGCTAACCTGGAGTTTGGCACACCAAAAAGTAGAGGATCCTGGTACGTGACTGAATATTAGATCTTACACAAATGGCTTCTGCTCAAAATGGAAATAGCGTTTTTTTTAGTATTCTCATAGGAACATATTAGACAAGTCGGTACAATTGAACCCCTAATCTTTACCAGCTGGCCAGATGTTCTTTCCTCAGGCTATAACTAATTAGGACTAATCTCCAATCACAAGATCATCTCTAATTAAAAGCACTCTTGATTCCAGGACAAGGTCTGTGATAATCTTTTTTTCTCTGAAGCAGTATTTGACACTCGCTAAATCCTGATGCAGTCATTGGCTATGACAGCATGGTCTGTGCAACTTGATCATATTTTGTCATATTGACATCCATCCCAAGAAAGATGGTACTGACTCTGACTTGTAATTTTTATTTGATTTTATGTGATTAATGGATGTACACAACTCCAATCTCAAACATCAAACACCAACATATCAAATGTAAAATATACTCCTAAAAGTGGACAATTGCACAAGAGATTTGTTATAATTACATATTAGAGCTTTATTATTATTAAGGATCTGCTCTATTGGAGACAAGCCAGTATTTCACACCTGAGCTCGGCTGGCTCTCTCACGCACACACACACACACACACACACGGATCTCTCCCTCTCTCTCTTTTCTTACTCTTATTCTTACCTTCTATTCTTCCACTGTCCCTCTTTCTTTGGTTCTATTGTGGATATTGTTGGCATATATTGGTATAAACGTCAAGCAGTATTTTCCCCAAAAACAGTAAACAACAACAACATCACACACTTCTAACTGCTAACTACAAAGGCTCAAAGACATATGCTCCAATAGAGATTACTCGTATAGGATTAGGAAGCATGATAATCTGGTTTCATGCCAGTGATCATCTTTGTTCAGCATTTCCTGTCCTGTAGCTGTTTGTTCGGTGTTGTTGCCTAAATGCAATCCCTTTAGAAATGGGTTTTTTTCTCTAACTTTTCTATTTTAAAGATTTGCTCTCTTCATCAAGTGAACCTTCTGGAGGAGAAAGTCCACCTCCATTCAGATGGAAATCACTCACTTCAGAGTTCCTGTTCCATTTTTTCAGAGTAGATAATGAAGTGTCCCTACTCCTTTACGACTCATTTTGCATGCCTGCATAATTAAGCAGCTGTTGTTTTCCTACACTGGGACCCTGCCTTCTTGGAACCACGCTGCCCATGAGCTTTGGTTTTCAAATTCATCTCTGATCTTTATCTCTAGTTGCCTGAAGAAAAGGTTCTAAATAAAGCCGGGCAGTAAAAAGGTGATGCTGTAAATGTAAAATGTATTTTCCTTGTACAGATCTAGCACAACCATGTTATCAATCCATACTATAAACAATAGACAACTTTAACTGAAAATATATTCATCTACTTTTTTTTTGCTTCATAATGTCTGTGATCAATCAATTAATGAGGGAGTTTCTTGTTTTTGTTTTTTATTTCATTGTGTTTACTCAGTCACTATATACGCTGTTTTTAGTCGTACTACTGTCTTTTTTTTAAGCTGTATCAAATATTTGACAGACTACTGTGATATAGTGTAGGTACTTGGTATTGTTGCTATCGTTGCTATTTGTAGTTTGCTGGTTTTTCTTTTGTTCCCCTTGTCCTTGGATTTTTAATTACATATGTTTTGTATTATGATGTAATATTTACTTGTGTAGACCACAGAAAGAGTAATTTCTACCTTGGTGGTGCCTAATGGGGATCCAAATAAATTCATAAATAAACCCACTGTTGCAGATTTTAGGCTTTTTATGGCACATAATTGCTCATCTCTGATTCATAGCGCTACACAGGAAATGGTCAATGTTCTGCAAATGCAAACCCAAGCAGGCAGCAATGTCCACCTTGTGGAAGGAAGCAATGAATGTGTTACTAAAATACAAACACCAGTATGGGAGAGGTGCCCTGTTGTCTTTATATTGTTAGTGTTGTCACATTATATCAGGGTATCCAGTAATGTAACGTTGTATATTTACATTTTGAAATATGTACCGGTAATGACGATAACTGTGATATTTAAAAATGAAATACTGATATCATGTTACAGTGATAATACACATATAATAAAATTAAGTAAATAATCCAGCTCCTTTTAAATCACGCTTTTACAGTTATTAACCATAAAGTTAAAGATGAATTTGACTGATGCATTATTAGTTAATTTTTTTATATTCTATACATATCGCAATAATATCATTATAGTGAATTCTTTTAGCCACAATAATCAGGTAGTGAAAATCTGATATTGTGTATAGCCTATTAATACTACATTAATACTGCCCTCGCTTGGTACAAGTAGGGCCGCTAATATATAACAAATACAGTAAATCAAGTCAATAAAACACATACAGCTGCTGTAAGATTTTTTTTTCCAATGGCAAACATCACAGGTGTGTTTACCACACTGAGATGCAAATGAAAATAGGTGGGAATGGAAAGATCAGCACGCTGCAGCCAAATACTGTGATTCCATGTACAAAGATAATGTGAGTATACTGTTGTTGACATAGTGAGTGTGTAGGTGTGAGCGACACGCTCAGAATGGACAATTCTTCATAGAGAATGTGACGTTCAGGAGATGACAGCGCAGCAACGCTGCTCAATAGGACTCCTTCGATGCACAGTGCTCTTCTGTATCAGAAAACTGCTACTTGCATCTGTTGACAAAGAGACTGTTGTTGGAAGGAAGGCTTGCCCGCCATAGTGAGAGGAAGTGAATGGACTAGATTTACAGAATGGGACCAGCCATATGCAAACAGCACAAAAGCAATCTGTGATCCTGGAGCTTGGCTGTCAGCGCTGAACCAGTTTGCAGTATAGATCTGCAAAACTCTGGAAACTATGACTCAGGACAGAGGAGTGGTGAAGGAGAGAGCTTCCTTGGCAACCATTTCTGGACCGATTGTCATCATGTGACAGGCTGATGCAGCCACTCGCTGCAAAAACAGAGACAGGGGGAGAGAGAGAGAGAGAGAGAGAGAGAGAGAGAGCACACTGATGAGTCAGAGCAGGCTGATTCTGATGTAATCACCAAACCCTCCCTTCCTCTGCCTACATGGCTGTTCCTGGATATTCAGGTCAGAGCCTGTTTCCCCACAAAACACAGACACATAGAACCTGTAACACAGCATGTTGTGCTTTTGATCTAGTTTCACATCAGTGAATGATCAGCAGTGGTAGGCTGACCCATTCGTTTTGATTTTGTGGGAATCGTTTTATGGGTTTTGGGAACAGTCACAATACATAAGGTTTTTTTGGTTTAGTTTTTTATAACAGATTTTAGAAATACAGAAAATAGAAAAAAACACAATATATCTCAATGCCCAGATAGAAGATCTTCAACTGTAAAATTAATAATTTTCAGGTATCATCAGAAATACTTTACATTTTGCCATATTACTGTATTCCATATATTGTTCATCTATACACACAGAGTTTAAATGTGTGTAGATGTTTGTGTTATATACAGAACTGGCAGTATGGCTGAAACCAACCCTGGAAATATATTAAAAGACAACCAAACAAAAAACATCCGGATAGCAGTACAGCCTGGCATGACAAATACATAATCACAATTAAATAATGTTCAATATTCAATATAAAACAAGGGCAATTCAGTTTACAACCAACTGTAACTGGTTCTGAGTCCCCTGCCAGGTAGATAGATAATTATCGTATATATAATTATCATATGCTAAAAAGTAGATTTCTTTCAAAAGCATGAAGCACACAAACTTCATCTTCTTCTTCCTGCTTTAATTTGGAAACCAACACTCGTCAGTTCTGCGGCCGGATCCCACCTCCTTTCCAGGGAGCGCTGAAATGCGGGATCTACGCATTTGAGTGTTAAGAAAAACTGCTCTTAGATCAGCCTTCAGCATTCCCAGCGCATCGTTGGCGATGTGTCTTCATGGTAGGGACGCATGCGCAATGCTTTGTGTTGCAACACAACTGAGCTCGACAGCAATCGTAACCTGGAGAAAACAGACATTACTAACCCTTTTTGAAACAAACTGAGAAACTGCACACGAGATGTAAAGGATTACTGCGACCACACACGGATTACAGCAGAGGAAGTTTAGGAAACAGCACAATAAGTAATACTTAAATCGTTTGTCACGTGGTCAAGGAAGACCAATGGGAGCCAACCAAATCCAGCGGAAAGTATGCTCTTTGTTCGGATATTTTGCCAACTTTATGCCCAAATCTGCGCCTTATGCTTTGCCAAAAGCACCGGATGTGTATCTGGATGCACGTTTCGCGACAAAGGAGACGCAATGGATACGTTTTATTTCGGTTTTGGCGGAATGCCACGTGTCGAAGTTTTGATAAACAGTGCGCTCAGTCTGATCTCATCACATGACTCCCCTCCCCCACCCAGCGCAGGGAATGGGGAAGAAGGCGGACATGTTTGAGGGAAATGTGCTGGTTAAAAAGTATCGAGGTGGAAGACAAGAAGAATATTTGAAGAACGGTTTCGCTTTGTTATGGGATTTACCAGTCAACATTTGTATTCATGTTAAATTTAAGGTTTTTATCTCATATCTTATGAATTATTTATTTATTTGTCTTTTGGATCATTTAAATGTCGTTTTGAACTGTATACTACGTTTTTTTTTAAAGCGCGAAGTTTTTAAAAAACTTTAGTAGTAATCAATGTAAGGATCTAGTGTTACCTTCCATCGTTTATTAGAGTGACATTGTGGGGGATTTGTAACCTTGGTGTGGGGGATGGGCGCATGTGGTTAGGTAACCATTTTGTATGGTTGTTGGATTTCTGGATAGTGTCGGTGGCTTTTAAAAGAGTATGAAGATTTACTACTCACTACTACTGTAATTCTATAGTTTGTAGTTTTGGTGTATTCTCATAAATGTTGTAAGGCTAAATATGGTATTTGCATTTTTAAACATAAGATTCATTTTCGTTTCGATTTCCTAATACTTTTAATTAACTTGTTTTCCGTGCGAGTGTCTTATTTAACGTTAGTTAAGCTGGGCTAAAGCAGTATTTACTCTGATGCAGTCTGAGGTCAGTGAGGAAAACTGCTGTGTCATTCAGTGGATGATTGTTTGGAGTTCTCATGACCCGCTGACATTTTTTCCGCTGAAGTAAAGGGTCTCCAGACTTATAGTTTTACACACTCGCAGTTACAATTGAATTGGACTTTACCCTTGTACGTTACTGGTGTGGCGTTTGTGAGCCACGGAGGCCTGGATTGGCGTTGTGCTCTCAAATGGTGGCCTTTTTTATGCTGCAGACGTACGCTACTTAATTAATTTGTTTGTACGCGAAAGATGTAGCGTTTTGTATGTTTTGCTTTAGTTTTTACCAGACATATTGTTAATATTTCTACTAATATACTCTGTGTCAGTGTGCTTAAAGATGGTGGCTGTGAGCTTCTTCTGCAAGACAGAAATGCGGACATGCTGGTAAGCAAGGGAGCTTGTGGGGTGAGGCTCTCGAGGGTTACACGTGATCCGGTGAAAGAACCAATGGGCTTCTTGATATTTACCCTGGAAGCCCGCGTTAGAACCTTATTGACCAATCCCCGCCGTCGCTTTGCACACGTTGACGTAATGTAATATTATAAGGAAGGGGGGGTCGACTCGGTGCCCTCGCGTTTTGTACAGGATTAAATGGAGGAACCAGTTACAGACACATATCTGTAATGCTGAATAGGCTGGGCCAATAGTATTGTGCAATTTCCTTGACCGACAGCAAAAACACGCGAAGAGGTTGGCCCAAAAGATTGTCGGTGAAGTTTCTGTATCGAGGGGTGTGGTGACTTTTACGGACATGTTAAACAGCGAATAGAAGCTCTGGGGGTGTGGACAGTCTGAAGTAGTCTATCCAATAGGACTAACGCTCGGTCTATAAAGCCGAGGGTGTAGTCGCATCGTCGCCATTTCAACGAAGCAGATTAAAAGGAGTTTACCGTGGCGGGGAGCGGAAAGCTGACGAACAGAGACGGATCCAGGTCTGAGTCTAGCTATAAACAGAATCCGGATCCATCCTGATGGATATGGCAGTTAACCCGCTCCTTGACAGGTATATACTGGTAAAATCGACTCTCAGCTTTCCATCAGTGGGAATATTGTAAATATTTCTCATGAGTTTTATTCAACATATCGGTGTTGGCAGCCTGTGTTTGCTGTAATACGAGTGGGAGAAGGAAATGGACAGTGAATATGCCACAGGAAGAAGTCTATCGCGGTGTTAAAAATGAGTAGCAACGAAATTCATGTTGAGGAAATTAAATGTGTTTTGGGTCTGTAACGAGCTGCGACTGTTGTTCGCACTACGCCGGCGCCATCTTCGGAGCGCCTTTGCCGCTGGCCGCTCTCTCCCGCTGCCTGGCAGTTAGCATTGCTAGCATTAGCGTCACGGATGCAAGCTTTTCCTCGATTTAACAGTAGCTTGACCTGCGCTTCTCGTCTGTATGGTGGTAATGTAACTTGCGCTCTGAGTTAATATTCCTGACATAAGGTATGTCAACAGCACAGCTATATTTTAGTAACGTCATTATAATAACTGGCGGCTAACCAGACCGTATTGTTGACGACGGTAAGCTATGTTACAACAGAGGAGGCTGAGGTGTGCTCTCAAAGCGCCATTTCTGCATGGAACGGCCGGTTGTTATTGTAGCCATGTGACGGGCGGGGGTTGTTGTGATCACTGGTACAACGTTACACCAACGCTACATTTACGTTACAGCGCGAGGGATTTAGCGGTCCATGTGTGTTGGTTGCCTGGTTACATAGCTCAATGTCACTCAACTAAGTCAAGTGAGGTAACGTTAGCAACTCAACTCATTGTGGGTTGTTAATTTAGTTCAATTGTTTGTTACTTAAGTATCAATTTCCCTTTTTTCTGAGCTCCCATACCCAACTTAACTCATAGTTATCTGTTAATCCAATTTACAGCTAACATGAAAATATGTTTTTGTTTAGTGTTGTTAATGTTATGTACATGATTATTTTCCTTTTTAAATAATAAAGTACACTAACTGTCAAATGTGTTTCCAAAAGTTGTATCATTCAAAACAGATTGCCTTTCCAAAACAAATAAAATGTAAGTATTTATTTCTATTGCTTGGTTCTAGCCATGTCTGTACACTTAATATGAATATGTAACAATTTATTTTGCCCTGGAAGCTAAATTTGCCACTACTTGTGTTCAGTCTACTGATTGGTGCAAACATCCTCTAAAAGCCAGGGGAACCCAAGTTCTAGATAAATGCATGCACAAACAAGCACTGAACCTGTTCTGAGGGGCACCTATTTTACAGCATGGTTCCAACTCGGTAATACCCACCACCATTTGCTTTAATGTCAAAGAGAGGCTCTTATTGTGCAGACATCCTATTGTGATATAAAGGTGCAAGGGGACAGTGGCAGTATAAACAAATCAAGAGGTACTAAGTACATTATTTTCCAGCAGAAGACTACAGTTTGCCCTTTGGGCCTAACTTTTGTTTTGTAGTCAAAGTGTCGGTTGGCCAGTGGAGATGGATGTGGTGAGTTCATGTTGTCGACAGTGGGGGTAGTGGACGCTTAACATTCCCTGACATCAAAGTTAGCTGTGCTGGTATTGTTTTGATGAGGGTTATGCTTTAATTGGTTATTGCAGTGGTGCATATTTAAGTACAAGCCTCAGCAGATGCCAGGTGTCAAATGTTGTTGAGCACAGTGTCTGACATCCTGGACTATTTGTAGCAATTCTGATTAGTAGTAATAAATGGGCCGGGGTGGAGGTTATACATGTGAAAGTGCTGATTTTATCAGCTCAGTGTTGTTAATATGGGCTGTAAACTGGGGCTCGGGGGATTGCATTAGAATTTGAACGTGGTTGAAAGAATGCTGTTTTCTGATGGCGGCAGTCTGGGAAGTCTAAATTAGGGTTAGTATGACACCAGTCTCCATCTTGTTAGGGTGCTTAACAGACTGTGACTGTGGAGAGATGCTGGATGTGACTGTTAAAGCTGGCCACCCAACTGCTGCTGAGAAGTCACCAGGAACTCCCTCTGCTGCTCACCTAAGCTAGCACAGCCGCATTAATGGTAGAGCAGTGATGGAATTTTTAAAGGCCGATGGCCTCAGTTATTCTGTGTAGAGTTTTGCTTCCTTTCCCCGTAAAAACTAAATACAATAATATGACGGGACTAAATAGTACAGTTCCTTTTAGGATAATTTTTCCTCGTGGAAATGGGGTGGGGTTCTGTCTGTGTGAGGTGGACTTATGGGGGAGGAAGTGAAAGCCATGCCTGTTCTCCTGGGACCGGGAGTGCTGATTTGGCGGGGGTAAATTCCAAGTCGGCCTAATGTGTGCTTGTCCAGTAACGCCTAGAACGTGGCTGGCTCCGTGTGCCTTGTAACGGTGATTTACTCTATACTGTATTCTTGTGAGTGTGTAGTTAAGCAATTAGGTTGAATCAGGTTTGATAGCATACAATGTATGTCATGTATATGGAGTTACTGTTAATGATGGAAGTACTAATGGGAGCATACTCCAAATATTGGCTCAATTTGAGTTCTTGCTAATGCAGGCAGTCTTGTTAAGGTGAAGGGCAAACCGTGTTTAGCATTTCATGGGAGACTTGTAGAAATATACTATATTTTCTAACCACATGTCGTTCTCGGCGTGACTTCAACAACCTAAGACAAACTGCCACATAGTTAATTGGTCTTTCAATCGCTCTCTACAGCTCCCTTCTCGGGGTTGAGGTTGGCATTATGGGAGTCACAACGATGGACCAGAGTTCTGGCACAGCTGGAAAACGCATCCGAAAACCTTCACTGCTCTATGAGGGCTTTGAGAGTCCTGGGATGCCCCCCCTCAGTCATATGACCCCTTCGGGACCCCCACAGCCCCTGGTGAGAGACCCCAACCGACAGGGCAGGATGACCAACCAACTTCAGTTCCTACAGAAAGTCCTGCTCAAGTCTTTGTGGAGGCACCACTTTGCCTGGCCCTTCCATGAACCTGTTGATGCCACCAAGCTCAGCCTGCCTGTGAGTAAGAATACAAGACAATTGGACATAACTTGTAGTGACCAACTATTGATATATATATATATATATATATATATATATATATATATATATATATAGAAACAACCTCATGGTTATCCACATAATGAGATATCAACACGCAAAGGTCATGGTTCATCATCACTGTTGGTCGTAAAACATCTAGATGCTATCCACCATTGTATCATGTTGCCACCCTACTGTGTCAGGTTTTGTGTCTTCACAATTAAGTAGTCCAAGGACTCTTCCCCTGTGTGGGGACACCAGTCCCACCAGCCACTTGCCAATAGTACAGCTTTTAATCTATTTGTTAGCCACTAAGGCGTCAGACCACTTTTGCTTGTCTTTTCCTTTAATGGCATAATTGGTCAAAAAGTAGTTTTGGAATGTAGCGGCCACTGTTTACGCCCCTGAAAGTGTCTCTGTCTCCCTTCAGGACTATCATAAGATCATCAAAAATCCCATGGACATGGGATCTATTAAGAAGAGACTAGAAAATAATTTCTACCGCTGTGCCAGTGAGTGTATGCAGGACTTCAACACCATGTTTACCAACTGCTACATTTATAACAAGGTAAGAGTGTGTGTGTGTGTGTGTGTGTGTGTGTGTGTGTGTGTGTGTGTGTGTGTGTGTGTGTGCGCGCGTGTGCGTGTCCCCAAAATATACAATATACAAAGTGATAAAAGTCATATCTCCTGGCAATCATATGAAGCCATTTACCTTAACATGAAAGGTTCAGATGCACAATTTTAAGAAAGTGTGAAAGTAGTTTACATTTTGTAAATGTATGTAATGAGGAGTTGTACCATTTTATATTTGTTGTATTTATATAAGTGTGTTATTGACTTGAATAAGACTTGATGTCTACTGTTGTAACAATTTTGCCCAAATGTCCTCCTCCTGCAGCCTACAGATGACATAGTACTGATGGCTCAGTCTCTGGAGAAGGCTTTCCTGCAGAAAGTAGCGCAGATGCCCCAGGAGGAACTGGAGCTGCCTCCCCCCCCCTCCGCGGACCAAACAAGCCAAACCTGGCAGAAAAGGAAGAGGTAATGCAAGCGAGTGCTGGCTGCAAGCAGGCTAATACAGCCAGACATGTCAAGTCTGCAATCATCAACATTCAGTACAAGCATGTCATCTTCCTAAATGCACATGTTTGCCCCCCCCCCCCCCCCAGTCACCGGAGGAGTGACGACAGCTCATCAGGTCCCCGCTGTATCCCAGTCAGCATACTCGCCCCCCACGCCGGAAACACCCGACTCCATCCTCTCTACCCCCCCACAGTCACACATGACCAAGAGCTTGCCCCCACTTCTAACAACTGAACAAAGCATCTCTGCCATTACTGGTCTGCCTCCCACACAGCCCACCGCTAAGGTAACGTATTCCACTGGACATGTTGTATTTGTGTAGTCAGATTTTATTTTGAATAACGGTAAAGAAGCCCATAGACTAATCCCCTCTCTTCATTGAATTCTCCTCATCCACAGAAAAAAGGTGTAAAGAGGAAAGCAGACACAACCACCCCAACCACTGTAGCCATGCCCATCATGAGCACCATGGGCGTCAGCGGCATCAGCCTGGGGATGGGCGGTGGGCACGACTCCCCGCTCACCCTCACGTCTCTCGGAGTGGACCACAATTCCACGCTGGGGATGAACCAAGGCCTTAGCCTCAGCCAGGGCATGGGGATGGGCATGGGGATGGGCATGGGGATGGGCATGGGAATGGGTATGGGTTGTGGACCAGTGATGATGGGTACCAAAGCAGCGGGGGGCCGGAGAGGAGTGAGTGGCCGAGCCATCAAAGCTCCAAAGAAGGATTTACCAGATTCCTTGGTTGCACCGCCGGTGCGCCGCAGCAAGCTCAACCCTCAGCTCCGCTACTGCAACGGGGTCCTGAAGGAGCTGCTGTCAAAGAAGCATGCAGCGTACGCCTGGCCGTTCTACAAGCCCGTCGATGCCTCGTTGCTCGGGCTTCACGACTACCACGACATCATTAAGCAGCCCATGGACCTCAGCACCATCAAGGTATTTGCCCTAGGGATGCACACACACACACACACATATTGTTTTCCCCCAAATACAGTGTGTAGCCTAAACCTCTCCTCCTCTCTTTGTCTTCAGCGTAAGATGGATGGCAGAGAGTATCGTGACGCTCAGCAGTTCTCTGCTGATGTTAGACTGATGTTCTCAAACTGCTACAAGTACAACCCCCCCGATCATGATGTGGTGGGCATGGCCAGAAAACTGCAGGTAATGCACTTATTCCAGTTATATTGAAGTAATAATTATAGTTTTTGCAGAAGCATAATAGAAGTCTATAGTCCATATCCCTCACATCATCACTGTTGTTTTTATCTGGTTCACTCACATACTGTTTAATCCTTTTAGGACGTCTTTGAGTTCTGCTTTGCTAAGATGCCAGACGAGCCTCCAGCACCGCCTAGCTCCTCCTCTTCCTCCTCTTCCTCTTCATCGTCCTCTGAGAGTGAGGTCAGCAGTGAAAGTGAGGAGAGCGAGAGCAGCCCTAGCTCTGACTCTGAGGAGGAGAGGGCCAACCGGCTGGCAGAGCTGCAGGAACAGGTTTGTACTCCAGTGCATATCATTTTATTATATTACACCAAGATTACACAACTATCCGATGAGAGTCTTGACACGAGGGATTCTAGCTGTAAGTGGACACAAGTTGTGTGGAACCTCTCTCCGGAGCTATTGACAATCGAAACTCAGACTGGAGAAAGTCGAGAAAGAGGAGCAACGACGAAACCAAGTCCCCTTATGATATAAACGCAGCATACCACGGCCTGTCATGAGCTGTTGCTTGAATATCCCTTCCTCGGTATTCCATTCACCCATCTGTCTTTCTTTCTCCCTTCAGCTCAAAGCTGTACATGAGCAGCTCACTGCACTCTCACAGGGCCCCATCGTCAAACCCAAGAAAAAGAAAGAGAAGAAGGACAAGAAAAAGAAGAAAAAGGTAGAAAAAGAGAAGCATCGGAAGATAGAGGAGGAAGTGACCCCTGTTAGACCGCCCAAGACTCCCAAGATCACCAAGACTCCAAAACCCAAGAGCAACCGAGGGACGGGTGGTCCTGGAGTGCCGGTCAAGAAGGCACCGAGCAAGAAAAACAACAAGAGCAAGTGAGTCCTGCCACCTGTTGGACACTGTTGGTACTGTATGTGGTGCGTGCTGTGTTTGCCTGAGGGCATGTGAAAGATGACTCAAAGGGACAGACAGATTGCTACATGCTGTAAGATTTCTATAAAAATTGTTATTGTGTAAAATCAATATCAGTTTGTAGTAAAACAAGTTAAAAGTACATCATCCATGCTGTTTGCTTGGCGTTTCTAAAGCTCTTGTGTTGACATGACTTCTGGGTTCCAGTGGACCATCTCTTAACCATGTCTCCCTGTCTCCTGTCTCTTGTCTCCCATCAGAACCAAAAAGGGCGGCATGACGTTCAGCATGCCTCAGCCGGTCCACGAGCCCATAGTGAGTCATTACGACTCGGATGAAGAGGAGGAGACGGCACCCATGTCGTACGATGAGAAGCGCCAACTCAGCCTGGACATCAACAAGCTTCCCGGGGAGAAGCTGGGCCGCGTCGTTTACATCATCCAGTCCCGTGAGCCCTCGCTCCGAGACACCAACCCAGAGGAGATTGAGATAGACTTTGAGACCCTGAAGCCATCGACGCTGCGGGAGCTCGAGAGATATGTCATGACATGTCTGAGGAAGAAGCCTCGTAAGCCATACGGTTAGTTGAAGAGATCGTGAAATATCTCCCGGTTTAGGCCCATAATCGAACCTTTGGATTGAATGTTGATGTTATCTTAAAAATTTCATCTTCAGGATTTGTAGACCGTTGATGAGGTAGTGCAGTACATCCATCTTATGGCTATTGTTACTTTTGTGTTTCCATACAGCAAGTAAAAACAACATTGCTGGCAAATCTCGGGAGGAGCTCACTCTGGAGAAGCAAATGGAGCTGGAGAGAAGGCTGATGGACGTCAGTGGTCAGCTCAACTCTGGGAAGAAGCCTGCTAAGACCAAAAGTAAGTCCTCCATACTTCAGTCTTAGGGAGTACGTGGTTGGGGCTGAAAATCACTCAGTATTAAGTGTTAATGATAAAAAATATATATATATTCTGATAAGACTTTTCCAAATTGTATACATCGTCAACAGTTGTACTTAAAGAACCACTTTATAAAAATATCTATAATGTTATGAGATAAGTGCACCATCTGTTTGTGATGGTTTAATCAGCTTTCTTATATTTACTCCAGCAGAGAAACCAGCAACTGAGCAGCACACCCAGCCATCACGTCTCAGCGCCAGCAGCTCCTCCTCAGACTCCTCTTCATCGTCTTCTTCCTCGTCATCTTCAGACACAAGCGACTCAGACTCTGGCTGAGAGGCAGATGGTGTTTCCACATTAAAAGGGTCACGTGAGGGACCCTGGGTGTTTCACTTCCCACCGAGTGGACTGAACTGCAGTAGAGCTACCGGCGACGGAGCCGCGGGACGGATCAGACGAGACCAGCACTAGACAGAACTGGTCCGACTCAACCAGTGTGAAACCAAGAGAGAGAGAGATGGGCTCCCTACGCTCGGCCCATTCATCCAATCCTGTCCTGGACACAGAAGCGCTGAGCAGGGATGGAAGGAGGAGACTGGAGTCCTGCCGTTCTCTGTAGAGCCGGCCTTGCTGGGCAGAGCGAGGGACGCTCCATCTCCTGCCAACACGGGAGAAGAGCGACGCATGCGTTGGAGGGATATGGGTGCTAGAGCCAGAATCTTATTTCTGGAGATAATTTCCCTTCTTCCTGTGCTCTGTCTTTATGCTGTATAGATAAGGTGTACAGTTATATAAATCTATTTTTCTTTTATAAAGAAGCATTTTATGGAGTAATTTATTCCCTCATTCTGGGAAACGGGTGCGGGCGGAGTTGTTTTAGTTCTTGTCTAGTTTTTTTTTTTTCTGGAGTGATAAAGAGGGTAGAGGCAAACGCATGAGAGAATGTGAACGTATGAATGTGTCACGTACGTGTCTGCATGTGCGAGTGTGAAATCCTCATAGTTTTGACGCAGGCGTTGAAAATCAGTCTGCACGCAGAAGCACCTTGGTTCAGTAGAATGCATGCAATACAGAGGAGCTGACGAACATCTGCATACTACTTTACTGCATCCTTGTGTACTCATGTACTTGTTTGAAAGGGTTGGCCACTGTACAGACATGTGACCTCGTTCCACATCAGTTTATACAAACGTTGATCTGTTCCCATGTGTGCCGTCATGTTTTTTCTTTTTTCATCCATTTCAATTTCTCTGTAAACGTGTTGCTTTTTTTCTTATTCTGACCAATCTGCTAATAAATTGTGAGGACGTGTCTTGTCCACTCACCTGTGCCCAAATAACTTCTCGGTTCTTCTGATTTCTTCTGGTGTTCAGATTCAGTTTGCAAAAAGTTTTTTCTGGTTCTGACATTGATATTTGATTCAAGTTGTTGAAGCGTTTTGGGTGGACTTTCCCATGGGCCATCACTTCTTAACACCATGGTGTCACAAAAAGCAGAACTGCTTTGTCTTTATTACAATTTGGCCTTTGAGATCTGGCAGCTTAAATTTTTATTCTCTGTAATAACTTGAGTTTTGTCTAAAAGTTAACTTTGTGTGGGGGATGCCTGGTTGGTCAGGTTAAAAGCAAAGCGGCTTGTGAAGACGTGAAAGTGTCTTTTTCAATCTAGAGATCCAGCAGCCAGCTCAGACTAAACCTGGTTTACTGTAGTGAGTGATAAGTGCACTTTATCTGGAGTACTAAACCATCTAGTGATTTAGGTACGGCTGTGTGTCTATCTTGTTCTTTTAAAATCGCCTGTGGCTTGAGATTGGAATATTGTATGTTTGACAGTGATTATTTATTGAGAAGGAATTTGAAGGTTTTTTTCACAATACTGAAAGTAACTTTTCAATTGAAGTCTACTGTATAAATGATGCACAGGTTAACTGTCAGGATTGTAGAAGTGTACATATTTTATAGTCTCAATCTTCGAGCATGTTTTTGTTTTTCCTTCAGTCGAGCTGCTTTTTATTTTTTTGTGGCTTCAGTTGTAAACCGAATTACTCCAGTTATCAGTCTTACTTTTCTGGTTTGTCAGGAATCTAAATGCCTCTGTACTTGACTCCATTGTTTCTTCTGAACATCTGTACATAAATAAAGTGAGACAAGTTCCTCTTTTCACTGACTGGGGGACATTTTATTTACAGATATGTCATTTTAGGAACTTACTGAAGTCATGCAAGTCTGAGGATGAGAATGTTTGACATGACTCGAGATGATAAACCTTTGAAAACAGTGACCCCTGCTGTTGCAAAATGTATTAACATGTATTAACATGTGCTTTTCCAACAGACAGTAATTAAGATCCAGACCAGCTCAGTGGCCAAAGTGACCTTTTTTATTTTCCTCTTTAGAAAATATCACATTTTAACACCACATATAAAAAAGATCCCAAACTTTTTAGGCCACGCACCCCCTTCTACATCCCGACCGGGTTCACGCACCCCCAATCCCCCACACTTTAAAAAAAAAAAGCAACAGAGCCTATTTATAGCCGCATAAAAATCGGACCAATGAGAGAACAGTTTGCTCGCGCGTGGCGTTTGTTTACAAGATACAAAACACAAAAAAGACAAAAAATCTTCCTGCCCCGTGACTTCGAAAAGGTAACGGACGTACACCAGAAGATTGGCCATATTGGCCACATGTGTAGACTCGTCTACTTGCAGAGAGTAGAACTCACTCTTCTTCACGCGACCGACTAATGTAGCCCGGATGTCTTCGGACAAAGCATCGATGCTGCGCGAAACAGTGTTGTTGGACACCGGGATCATGTCCAACTTGTTTGCTTCTCTCTCTCCATCATACATTCCACCATCTCTTTGGCAGCTGGCAAGCACACGTCTTCGGCGATTGTGTGCGGTAGCCCCTTTCTTGCTATTCTGTAACTGACCAGATATGAAGCCCGTAGTGCGTGTTTTGTAGACCCAATGTTAGCCAGAACCTCACTGCACTGTCTCCTAAAAATGACGTTCCCCCAAAACTAAAATGCATTCTCAATTACATTTGACCAAAAACGTATTTTCTCCCTGATTACGTTTGTGTTTGACTTATTACATTGACTTATTACAAATACGTTTGTAATCAACATTTTAACACTTTAACATTTTTTTCCTCTCCCTATTACGCGGTCAGAATACTACCACAACACGCCGCCTGTCTCCGGCAGAAATGCGCTCATCCACGCACGGGAACAACACCCGAGTTGTCGGCCGAGATACCACCAAAACACCCCGCCTGTCTCCAGCAGAAACGCGCTCATCCAGGCCGAGCAACGAGGAACAATACGCGGCTACAATACCTCCACAAAGGCCCGCGTGTAAAATCCGGGAACCGTGACTCTCTTAAGGGTTAGGTTTGGGTGGGGACGTGGCTTCCTAGTGGAAGTTATGGTTAGGGTTGGATACAAATAAATAAAATATACCTCCATAACACCCCGCCACTCTCGGCTCATACCTCCCCAGCAACGAGGCACATCACCCGGCCACAATACCTCCAGAATGTCCCCCGGGTGAAATCCGGGACTTGGTTTTATGGTTCCGAGTGGCGGGCGCTCACCCGTTGGCGCCGGACGCGAGGTCTCCAGCCGCCCCCGCCGTGAGGCACCCCATCGTCAGGTCTGTCAGCCCTCGGAACAGGCCGCGGGTCAACACCTTGTGGGTGGCGGGGGTAGAGGCGAGGCAGATCACAAAAAATAATAAAGACTAGAGTATGGCAAAGATATGTTGATGAGAAACGTATTTACGTCAAACACAAACGTAATCAGGGAGAAAATACGTTTATGGTCAAACGTAATTGAGAATGCATTTTAGTTTTGGGGGAACGTAATTTTTAGGAGACAGGACTGCACCATTAGACCACCATTACATTTTTCCTCTCGCGCACCCCCAGGGGTGCGCGCACCACACTTTGTGAATCCCTGCTCTACGGTATACGTTTTCTTTATCTTCACAACTCCTAAAATGATCAAATAGAAAAAGCTGACATCTATTCAGTCACACATGACTACTTAGTGTCGTTACGTTTGTAATTATGATGAACTAGTCTAATCACCCGGTTAAGAAAAAATACACTTGATGTGTGAATATTTGTTGTGAACAGTTTTTTATTTATTTATTTATTTTTAGCTCAAACTCTGCTCCAAAAGTGTCATGACTGCGATTCACAGGATGTAGTTTATCATCTGCTCCATGGAAACAGGAAGCTGCCACAGGACGTTATTTATTTACTTGTTGTTTTGCAATAGGAGACTTGGGAACCGAAAATATCGATAGCTACATGTTGGTAGCTTTGTTACAAGAGAGCAGTGCTAGCTGTAGACTGCCACCCTGTGGTCACACCACGTTACTACATGTGCCAACAGTCCGTGATGGTGTAGGACTGACCCACTGTCAGATCATCGCGTGTATGAAGGCTCTCTCAGACATTTTGAGCCCTTTATGAACACTTTTACGCAAAACTGCATTTTTTGCAGACTTTGCCCAAGATAATTACCCACAATTCATAGCAATATGACGTTAAACACGGGGTTACCAGTGGAAGCATGGAGATGTAAAAAAGTCAAGAAAGAGGACGGCACGTGTGTTCAGCCTGGTGTATTACATTTACTCAGAAACATTAAGGATGAAAGATGTAACATAAACACACATCAGAGGAATGGAAGCAGAGATTATATTACACAGATTTATTCATCAAACAGTTAATTTTGTTATTGAAGCTGTTTTGACAAATTGACAATCCCCTATACTCTTGTGAGGCAAAAGCCTGGAAGACGTTCAAATCAGGGAGTAAAAAATACACATTAACGTCTGAATCTGACACATTTCCTGGGAAACAAGCGCTCTGCTCTCATCTCTTTAAGGCAGCAGGGACTGTTGCTGCTTTCTTTCCTCTGACAGTGAATGTCCTCCTCTCCCTCTGCAGACTCGGTACTTCCAGCCTCCCTCGGTGTGTGTGAACGCAGCAGGCATCACCCAGGACGACTTCCTGCTCAACATGGAGGAGGATCAGTTTGACAAAGTCGTCCAGGTCAACCTGAAGGTAGGCGGCCATGACACCTGGAGCCTGAACCGCCACGCTTAGAGAGGAGCTGAGGGAGTTACCCGGCTGTCTTTCAGCTCAACTCTGGCTTTTAAGCTGGGATGGATCACCATGGTAACCTACGCTGCAGGTTAACCACTGACCAATCAGCTCACTGGAACATGCAGTCGTCCTTCCTTCAGGATCCTGACAGGAACTAAAGCAGTGACTTTCAGAATAAAGTGACAAGTAGTAAAGAGCAACAGATATTAGTATCTGTCAGTCAAATCTTTATGAACGCAGCCACAGTTTTAAAGATGAAATATAAGAACGAAAGCTGCATTTGAATGTTTCTACGTTTCCTCCCGTCAGTCTTGATGCTTTTACTCTCTTATTCCATCACTGCAGCTCAGAACAACACGAGGCAGCTTTGTGATAACAACTGGAAATAACTCGTATACTCTGTTGTCTTTGATTAGAAACTGATCCACACAGCGTTAACTAGCTCCCATAATTCATATTAATGCAACATCTGGATCAGACAGACCTCTTCATGATCCTCTCTGCTTCGTCTTACATTATTTTAACATATTCATGAAGTCTGTTCATCATCAGACGGCCCTGCGTCTCCGTCTTTCTGTGTTTGAGATGAAGAGCAGAGAACAGAACACAGTGAAGAGATTTATTCAGTCCTCTCTCCTCCTGCGTCTCCCAGGGTTCCTTCCTGGTCCTTCAGGCTGTGGCTCAGGCTCTGGTGGCCTGTGGAGCACCCAAGGGATCCATCGTTACCGTGGGCAGCATCGTGGGAAAGGTCTCTGCTTTACACTTTACATATTTAGCTGAAGCTAAAGTTCGTATCCAGAAAGGCACGACTATATGTGTGATGGTGGGATTGTCCACAACTGTTAAAGGATGAAGTCGGCAGTATTTTCATCCTGGACCTGTCTTTAGTTCACCAAGAGCTTCTCTTCAGTGGAGTCCAAAGGGACCAAATAGAAGCAGTCAAACCCCAAAACAGATGGAAATACAATGGATAGTTCGTCATTTAAAACGTGTTGAACAGGAATGTTTCCTTTAGCTTTCTAATCAACGTTTCCCAAAGCACAAGATCCACGAATACACACAGAAATCCATCTAGAGCTTTATTCTAAAAAACAATATGAAGCCAGAGACACACATGAGTTGTTCAGTCCTCTGTGAGAGTATCTGCTGTGTGATTTGAACTTTGACTGCTTCATGAAGATCTCCAGTGGAACAGGACTGATTGTGTTTCCTGGTGTGTGTGTGGTTAACGTTGGTAGGTGGGAAACATCGGACAGGCAAACTACGCCGCCTCTAAAGCAGGAGTGGAGGGTTTAACCAGGACGGCTGCCAAAGAGCTCAGCAGGTGAGAAGAGTGATGCAACAGACACATACACACACACACACACACACACACACACACACACACA